TAATATTTTTAACTGAATAAAATTTGAACAGAATAAAAATAATGGGGCTATTTTTAAAGTCGTCACTTCCTGATTTCCCTCACTCTCCTTTCTTATCCAAAATAAAAAGACAAGAGACTGTACAGATTGACAGAATAGAGAGCACACATCTGAGGACATTCACACTCATCTCCTTCAACTACTCCACCACCTCTACCTGTTAATACAGTGGTTTTCAACAGGTGGCAATTTTGACAATGGCTGGGACATTTTTAGATGTCACAATGGGAGGGGGTAGGTGCTACTGGAATATAGTGGGTAGTAACAAGGATGCTATTTAAACATTGCTGTTTCCATGAAATTGAAGAGGAGCTGCAAAATGAAGAATAGAGAGACTACAATTTAAGCATTATTATCATTTACTAAGTCTACACTGTGTGCTGCACATTGGTCAGACAAAATGAACAATTTCGTCGTGCTTTAAGTAGCCCACACTCAGGTAGGAGAGTTTTGTAATTTGCCTGATACCAGGTTTGACTCTCTGGCCGATAAATGTTTTTAACAAGTATGTCATTCATCCTTTCCCAGGGAAGGCATCGGGGAATAAATGACTTTTCACACCAACTCTGAAGGGTGAGTGGGAAGCATCTCACCTTCTGCCTCTTCCCAATCAAGTTTTCCACTTCTTTGATCAGCAAAAGGCTATGTGTTTGTTTTTTGTTTTTTTTTAATCTTTTTGAGACAGAGTCTTGCTATGCAGTTCAGGCTGGCCTTAAACTCATTTTGCAGCCAGTGCTGGTATTACAGGCGTGCGCCACCATGCCCAGCAGCAAAAGGCTATGAAGCATCCATTATGTGCCATGTGCTGTGCTATGTTCTGGAGACCCAGTCAAACTAAAATTTTGCCTTTTTTTCTTTGGCATCACCATCGCTGGTACCTAGCAGTCCACTTCCCTCACTTAAATCCCCATGGATTCTGCATTTCTACCTACTTTTCAATTAAGTAACTGTTGCCCTAATCAATCTCAGTAAGGGCTGGGGATGTAGCTCAGCAACACAGCACCTGCCTGGCAAGCACAAAGCCCTAAGTTTGATTCCTGATACCAAAAAAGAAAATAGTAAAAAAAAAAAAAAATCTTAGTAATGTCAATGCCCAAAGAGTAAACAAAACTTGCAGTTGCCTGCTGATACAGATTGTATACAATCCTGCCTATTAATAAAATGAGGGTAGCAATGCCAACAATGAACTGAGTATGGGTGGAGAAAAAAAGATCTGCCAACTGTTAGACGCATGTTGGTATCTTGGAAAGCTATTTCATCCTTCAAAAAATCTTGGTCTTCTTCCATTCCACCCAATTCATCTGGATCAACAGCAAATTAAATCAAAAAAATCTTTCAGGGGCTGGGGATGTAGTTCAGTGGTAGAGTACCTGCCTAATTTGTCTGAGGCTGAGTTCCATCCCCAACCCTGAAGACAGAAAGAAAGGAAGAAAGGAAGAAATTTACTGAGCACTTACAATGTGTTATGTCAACAACTCCCAACCATAGCTGTGGGCTGTGAACTGACATCAGAGCTCTCATGTCAGATATGTACATTTTTCTTAACAGAAAATTCTGATACAAATCAAGTTTGAAGCCCTGGCCTTTAAGCATTACAGAATACAAAAGAAATATAAGAAACAATACCTGTCCTCAAGAATTTACCCAAAGTTACAACAGAATAACTTCAAATAAGATGTTAACTCCAGTACTATATAAATTCTTTTGCAATATTATCACTGCTTGGGCTGGGGATTTAGCTCAGCAGCGCAGCGCCTGCCTGGCAAGCGCAAGGTCGTGAGTTCAATTCCTGGTACCGAAAAAAAAAAATCTATATATATATATAGATACATAATATCTATATATATATATATTATATATATTATCACTGCTTATGAAATAGAAGAAACTGCGTGGACTGGATAAGAATTATTCTTTTTTTTTTTGGTTTTTTTTTCCTCCGGTACCGGGAACCGAACTCACGACCTTGCGCTTGCCAGGCAGGCGCTGGATAAGAATTATTCTTATTCTTTAGTCCAATCATATACCTACTACACCCAACTAACACACTATTCCAGTCTTTCTACTTCCCAGACAGTGAGGCACCATTCTCAGGAATAATGGAGGAAGGAGGATGAAATGAGGTCCCTGAACCAGGTGGCTACCTGATTTCTGGAAGGACAGAATTCTTCAAATCCATGCTGCCATAGGGCTTCCTCTAAAGAGAAGTCAGTCTTCATTCTCCAACACCACCAGTCAACCTCACTCTAGAGTGGAGGTATCTGAGAAAAGCTGAGTAGCCTGAGTTTTTAAAAATATGTTCACAGCCAGGCATGGTGGTGCATGTCTGTAATCCCAGCACTTGGGAGGCTGAGGCAAGGTCACTGCAAGTTCAAGACCAGCCCAGGCTACATAGTGAGTTGAAGGCCATCCTGAACTGCATAGAGATCCGGCCTCAATAAAACAACAAAAAAAATTTTAATTAAATTAAATTTAAAAATAAAAATATGCTCATAGAGGCCCCTGGACTCTTAAGCATCTAACTTCAAATAGCTGGTAAATACAAGTTTCTCATATAACACACACTTAAAATACGCTAAATCAAATATATTTCAGTAAACGCCTTAGCAAGATGTGCACATTGTAGAAGCTTCATAAATCAAAAATAGGGGGCTGGGGATTTAGCTCAGCGGCACAGTGCCTGCCCGGCAAGCGCAAGGCCATGAGTTCGATCCCCAGTACTGGGGGGAAAAAAAAAAAAACATAAATTAAAAATAGAGCTAAGTGTGGTGATACATGCTTATAATCCCAGCACTGGAGGCGGCTGAGGCAGGAGGATGACAAATTCAAGCCCAACCTGAGCAACTTAGCAACTTAGACCCTGTCTCAAAATTAGATGGATAGATAGATGGATGGGACTGGGGATGGATATAGCTCAGTGCAAAGGCCCTGGGTTCAGTCTCCAGTACCGAAAGAAAGAGAGAGAGACAGACAGACAGACAGACAGAGAATAAAAAGAGAGAAAAGGGCATGGACAGCGCACACCTGTAATCCCAACACTTGGGAGGCTGAGGTAGGAGGACCACTGCAAATTCGAGGCCAGCCTGGGGTACATAGTGAGTTGAAGGCCACACTGAACAACACGAGCCCCCCCCCACCCCGTCTCAAAAAAAAAGTATGTGTGTATAGACAAAGACTGAATTGATAACTATGTCAAGAAAATGAATCATCAGTGATAACTTACTTAGTAGTGTTCTGATTTTTAAAAGTTTATCTCAGTAGGTTTAAGATGTAAAATTACTTCTATCTAGAAGTTTCTGAACACCCAGCAAATTACAATTAACTTTTTCTGTGAAAGCGGAGCCTCAGATATGGACAGAGATGGGGACACCTCTTAAAGATCTCTTGAACAGGAAAAGTTTCACAGTTCTTTCCTTCCTTCTTCCTTTAGTTCCTGCTTCTGGTTTTAGAATTTCGAACAAAGAAAATACACACTGGCTCCACACTAAGAAACACCCTCTTTATTCACAACTTCCTCTTCCAATTTTCTTCCCCACCATTGAGAACGTGGGAACAATACCCACAACCAGACCTATTTTGATTAACCCAAATTTATGGTACCCAACAACTGCCTACCCCAAGCCCATAGTCTTTACTCAGCTAAAAGGAAGATAATGGGCAACACAAAGAAAAAAACATTAAGTTTCATTAGAGGCAAGCCATTAAGCCTTTCATCCCAAGAATCCCAAAGAAATGTGAACTAATAAATGAGAAATTTCTCCCACCCTAAGAAAATGTGACATTCTTATGAAGAAACACATTAGGCTGGCACCACCCTGAATCAAAAGTTAGGTCTCTACAGGTGATGGTGAATTTGTCACTACAGGACATCCAATCAGAGAACTCAAACTGAGCTCTCTGAGGTTCTAACACACTTCAAAGTGACTTGTACAACTTAGAAACAGCCCTAACTCACAAACTGAACAGAGGGGATGGACTTATAATTAACCATTCAGAGATCAAGAACCAGCCTGTCTCTACGCCAGAAATCAAATCAAGTATCTGGAACTAGATCCCCTCCTGCTCCCCATTTGTGACAAAACAAACTTCCCTAACACTATCTTTTAAGTGAGCAATGACTTGCCCTTTGCCCTTTGCCAGTGACTCTCGGAGGAAACACCTCCAGTCTGGTAAGTTCTGCACTTTACTGTGTGCTCTGAAACAGTTTCCTTATGTGTAAATTGTCTAGGATAGCTGAAAAAATTAAACAGAAACATATGCCAAGGTTTGGCATATAGTAGGAACACCATAAAGGTTGTTCTCCCTCCTCTTGACTTCTAAGCCTAAATTCCAGGGAGCCCCAAGAATCTCCAAGGGTTCCATCTGCCTCTCTGACGATGAATAAAACTTCCCCAGCTCAGAGGCCCTTAGGTGGCTGGGGGGCCAGGACCCCATCGTGATCCGGGGGGTGCCCAGCGCCTTCACAGAACAGCCCCTGTAGCCAACTCGCCTCCTTACTCTGCCGACCATTGTGTGTGCGTGTGCGTGTGCGTGTGCGTGTGCGTGTCCCTGCTCGCAGCTCCCCAACTTCGCAGGCCAGGACCTCAGAGAGCACCTCAGTTACTTCAGGGTCCACAGCTGGGAAGTGAGGCTTACCCTGGGTAAAAATGGAAGTGACTTGCCCAAGACCACACCAGCGAGTGGGCGGCAGCGCCGGGTCGGGTCGGGTCGGGTCGGGTCGGGACACTTCCGCAGCCTCACGCACTCGCGAACCCTTCCCCGTCTCCGCGGGGGACTCCTAGTCACTCCTTCCCTGCGGAGCAGACTAAGACGCCACCCAGCGCTGACCGCTCGCCGGCTTCTGAGAGTCCACAGCAGCAGGCTCGGCGCCCACTACCCCCGGGACCCGCGGGCTTTGAGGGGCGGCCGGCCCGGGGCCAGCGTCTCCCCACGGGTTCCGCCCAAGAGGACTTGTTGCTCACCTGGCCTCGATCTGTCGCCCTGAGACAGGAAGAGCCGGCCTCCCGCCCAGTCCCTGAAGCTGGCCTGCTCCCGCCGACCGACTCTCAAGGCGGCTACACAGCCGGACCCCCTCAACGCGCTACGCCCCCAGCCGTGATAGTCCGGCCCGCGTCCGCCATTACGCGATTCCCCGCCCTTGGACACCGCCACACCCCGCCAAACATCCTGATTGGCTCTCCTCCCCACCCACCCTGAGTTTCTGGCCATTTCATTGGCCAGGATGAGCTGCCAGTTAGGTACATACGCAAAAGACGTACTCTAGGGTAAGGTCCCTGGAGCTCCACCCGACCGACTTCCGCAATCGGAGTAAACAGCAAAGGACAAACCAAGTGAAGTGGGGGTAGCGATTAAGGCTAATCAACTCTTAAATTCATAGTAGAAAGATACTATCAAATAAAGTGTGAAAACTCGCCCAAAGTGTGTTGAAAAACGATTTCTTCTTGTTAGAGTCCAAAGAACCAAACTTTTTGATAAAAGGAGGGTGCCAAACCTACGAACTTTCTATAGAAACCCCTCAAACTGCAGTTAGTTTTGTCCCTTCACGCCCGGTCTCTGACCCGGCGGAAAGTAGGGTGGGGACAATGAGTCACAGGCTCCTTCCTTCCCCTAATGGATTCTTCCTGGGCGAAGCTTTGGACATGGGACTCTGAGCTAGCTCTGAGAAGCCACTGTTGGGTGAGCTGGACCCAGGTTCAACTGCTACTTCACTTTGTGACGTAGACAATTCCCTGAATTTATCTGGGTCTCAGTTTGTCCTTCTGTAAAATAGGCACAGCAGGCTTCGGCCTCAGTAGCCTTCTCATGTGCAGAAGTGGTTTTTGAGGATTCGTGCCTCTTTTTGACTATAAAAAGCTGCACCCGGAGAATAATGTGACAAACGCACAAGTTAGCAAAGATACGTCACTTAGTTATCTAGAGCAACTCTATAAGGCAGGTACTGTTCTCCGCTTGTAGAGGAGAAAACAGTCTCCATGGCTGCATGACTCAGGGTTACCTAGAGGATCGGAAACAACTCTGGAACTCAAACTTGCATTAAATAATAGCTTCCATTCCTGTATTTCCTTCGCCCCAGTGTGGTGTCATGTGAGCAAGGGCAGGGCTGGTCCTAAGGGTACCAGGCCACCTTTCTCTGTGGTCACCGTCGACTTGGGTGCTGGCCACCCCACCCCACCCCCTACTAGTGTTCAGAAACACCCCAGAAGTGCGCCCAAGCTGTTTCTGGGGTCCTTAGGAATCAGGAGATGCGTAAGGGATGGCGGGTGGGTTAGCAGCCTGGGCAGAATCCCTAATGAGGACACCCCCGTGGGCCCTTAACAGGGTGGCTTCATGCCAGGACTTAAATCCAGGTCTCTCCGCCCTCAGCACAGAGCTCTGCTCACTACAGGATTGTTTTTCCCAGGAAGGCTGCCTTGGCTGTAATTCCTTGTCCTTTTCTCTCTCTGGAAAGGAAGGAGGCCAAGAAGGGAGTAGGAGGGAAGCAGCCTAAGACTTTAGAAGGGCAGAACCCCCAAGTGGGTAGTGCCAAGAGGGTTTCAGTACCCCTGGGCTGGTGTCCTCCAACCCCAAACTGGGACACTTAGTTTGACAGCCAGTTGCCATTTAAACTCGGGCCTGGGTGCTGGGAGGCAGCTGTGCAGAAGGCAGCACTGGAGACCAAATCTAGCTCCACCACTTTCCTGCTCTCTGAGCCTTACCTGCCTCATCTCTAAAATGGAGACAACAAGCAGTTGTGCAGATTCAGTGAATTAACTGTGGAATTAATGAGTCATGTGTGTAAAGTGCCTAGAAGCTCTTTCTTCATTCATGGATTCAGCCATTCAATAAAGAATTATTAGTCTAGCGTGTCAGTGCATGCCTGTAACCCTAGCACGCAGAGGCAGGAGGCTCTTGAAAGTTCCAGCCAAGCCTGGGCAATTTACCATCTCAAAAGAAAAAAGGGGTGGGGCTGTAGCTCAGTACAGGACCCTGGATTCAATCTCTAGTAGTTAAAAAACAAAACAACAATAATAAAATGTTATTAAGCACCTACGGCAGGTAGAGCAGCTTGCCAGTGGCACCATTACATTGCTGAGCAAGACAAGACAATACCTTCGTGGAGCTTAGAGTCTGATAAGGCACAAGAAGGCAAAGTGCAATGTGTTTATGAGTGACTGTCAGGTGGGTGAGGCCAAAGGAAACTTCCTTGAGCAGGTGATGTTGGGGTGAGCTGAGGAATGGAGGTCCTTCCACTCATAATGAATGAGCAGGAGGTTGAGACACGTGGTGCAGGGCAGAGAAAGGGTGCAAAAGGCGTGCAGGCCACAGGGAAGAGTGGCTGTGGGGAGGGAGGGCAGAGCACAGAGGACCTGAGGGCCCCCAAGACAGTGTCATGGCTACTGCCGGATGAATGAGGGCGTTACTGGGAAAGGAGCCTGGCTTTGAAAGGTCTCTTCTCCAAGGTCTTTACACCTTTCGGATAGTCCCTGAAAATGCCGGGCTTCTAGGCAGAGTCTCCTGGGGTTGAATTCTTGATTTTTTTTTTTAATTTTTTTTTTTTTTGGTACTAGGGAATCAAACCCAGGGTGCTCTACCCACTAGCCCTTTTCTATTTCTTTGTTTGGAGACAAGATCTCTCTAAACTGCCCAGGCTGCCCTTGAACATGTAGTAGTTAGGGTTACAGGCATAGCTGGGCGTGGTGGTGCATGCCTGTCATCCCAGCACTGAGGAGGCTGAGGCAGGAAGATCATTGTGAGTTTGAGACCAGCCTGGGGTACAAAGTGAGTTGAAGACCAGCCTGAACTGCATAGTGAGACCCTGTCTCAAAAAGACAAAAAAAAAAAAAAAAAGGATTACAGGATGGACCACCAGACTGAGCTGTGTTTGACTCTTTACTCTACCAACTCTCCAGAATGGAGTAACCTTGAACAGTCACCAAAGAACGCTGTGCCTCAGCTCCACTTCTGAAGATGGGGATGATAGAAGGTTATAAGGTGGGGGTAAGGATTTAATGGGAAAATGAAATATGATACAGCTTCTGGCACATACAAGGCACTCCACGGACATGGTGGCACACGCCTGTAATCCCAGCACTCGGGAGGCTGAGGCAGGAGGATCGTTACGAGTTCGAGACCAGCCTGGGCTACAAAGTGAGCTCAAGGCCAGCCTGAACTGCATAGTGTGACCCTGTCTCAATAAGACAAAAAAAAAAAAAAAAAAAAAAATACAAGGCACTCCATAAACAGTGCTTGGGCCAGGCATGGTGGCACCTGCCTGTAATCCCAGCACTTAGGAAGCTGAGGTAGGAGGAAGGCAAGTTCAAACCCAGCCTGGGCAATTTAGCAAGACCCAAAATAAATTAAAAAGGATGGGGATGTAGCTCAGTGCAAAGGCCATGGGTTCAATCCTCAATACCAGAAAAAAAACAAGAAACATCAGTGCTGGGTCTTACAAGAATGGATGGAGGGGGGCCTGGGGATTTAGCTCAGCGGCAAAAGCGCCTGCCTGGCAAGCGCAAGGTGGTGAGTTCGGTTCCCGGTACCGGAGAAAAACCAAAAAAAAAAAAAAGAATGGATGGAGGGAGCCTAAGGCAATAGATCCAGCAGATGGTTTAGGATAGAGCTGATGCAGGCATCCATATCCTGGGCAAATTGTGACCTGATCTTAATTATCATAGGAAAATCTGAAGCCAGACAGCAAGCCTAGGTTCAAATCACTGTTTTACCACTTCCTAGCTGTGTGACCTTCAGCAAGTGCCTCCACCTCTCTGAGCCTTAGTTTCCTTTCCCTTAAAATGATGTTAACTATTTCTATTTCCTGAGCTGTGAAGACCAAATGAGATAATAAATGTGAAGTACTTAAAACAATAATAACAATAAGCAGTACGTAGTAAGCAGCGGTCAAATGTTGACTCTAATAATTGTTCTATTACTATTACTGATATCAGCAGTTCCTACCTACTTGCTCTAGAAATTAAGATTCTGGTGTTTTGCTTCCAGATCGCACAGAAACAGAAGCCTTAGTATTTCCTGTTAGACGATGCAGATAGACAAGTTGCTTTCAGGGGAGTGATGCTATGCATATTAATAGTAATATTAATAAGCACCAACATTTACTGAGCATTCGCTATATGCCAGGCATGTGCTAATTGCTTTACATCCATTAAACCATTAATCCTTATAGCAGTCCTATAAGTTGGGTACTGTTATTATCTTCATTTTACAAACGAGTTCAAAGAAGCACAGAGAGGTTAAGTGATTGGACACCCAGTTAGGAACCAACACAGCTGGAATTTAAACCCAACCATAGAACTTGAGGGTGCCATTGGGGAAAACCCTCCCTAAAGGTGTCACCCAGAGCACTAGTGTGATTCACTGCCTGCAGCAAGTCCCCAGGTTGCAAAACCCAAGCCATGTTCCTTTCCTGCCAATTCTGAAAAGTTACCCTGCCTATATCCTGAGAAGGGCAGGAAGCAGACCCTCTCTTCTAGGCAAGGGGAGTTAGAAAGACTTAAGAGTCACCAGAATTGGGTCTGAGTCCCAACCTTGCCACCTAATGACTTGGTAACTGTAGCCAAGTCACACCCCCTCGCTGAGCCTGGTTCCCTTGTCTATGAGATGAGGATGAGAAAGCTCTGCCTACAAGGCTATCACGAGGAACACAGGAAATAAGGCCCACAGGAGCTCTGAAGGGCAGTCCACACAGGAGTTCCTGTCAGCCTTGCTGCGGGGATGCTGAGCCCTTTGGGAAAGTGGCCCAATCAATACCAGGCAAGATGGGTGTCTTGTGAAACAGATCTGGGTTCGAGTCCCAGGTCTGCCTTTTATGCTCTGTCTAACCTGACAAGTTAGATAACGGAGGTGCGGGGATGGGGGTGGTGAGTATCTAACCTATCGGAGACTCAGTTTTTCTCATCTATAAAATGGAGTGAATAATGCTGAGAGAAAATACCAGTTGAGAATCCTAAGAGCCCACCAGCCAGTGGCTGGTACAGGGCTGGCAGAGGAAGGCGCAAAGGAAGAGGGACCGAGAAGAATCACCCCTCTGCATCCCCCGGCCTGTCTCAGAGCCCAGAACATTCTCCTAGCCACTCCCCCCACACACCCTTAGCTCTTGCTGGGTCCGAGCCTGCCTCCTCCCCCTCCTCCCCTCTTCTCTCCCTCTCTCTCATCAAACAAGTTCT